ATACCAAAAGATGGGTGAAGGTATACTCTCCTTATATATACTCCGTCATATTTCTCAAAACACTAGGCCGCCCTTTGGTAATTCCATGTAATAGCATATCTCAATGTTCGGTGCTCAATTCGCCTGTGCTGTATAAAGAAAGTTAGAATTCTGGATTTATACCGCATCAAATTGTGTGTTACATATGCTTTAAGTATATAAACGATGTTTTGTCCTGGATAACAAGGGACATTTTTGAAGCTATTTCGATTTAGCTAGATGTCGTCAAACGGAAGACTGACAGCTAGCAGAGGTTAATGTAGATTATTATTCGCAATAGATTTTATTAAGTGTCTAATATTTGTTATTAGTAAGTATGAGGTAATAAGGCTGTCTTTTATTTCGGATGACGTTAAAATCTATAGGTACCTACATATGAGGCAAAATGTTCACACTTCTTTTCTGGTATTGAATCCTGAAAATCTTTCTAATAAAACGTAACATCCCTCAATAGAAATCCTATGACATTGTTAGTTACTTAACAGTGGATTAATATGCAATATTAACTTGATATCATTTTTTCGATTTTTTATTTACCCACTACAAACTATCTCAAATTAATTTGATATTAATCCACTATTAAGTAACTAACAATGTCATAGGATTTCATATGTTTAATACGAGGGTGGATTGATAAGTTTCCGGCCTAACCAAGAGATGACGCCACTAGGCCTACCTTGAGGTGACATTCTATAGTACCATCCTTGGATAGCTTGTAGCTATAGTTTCAGCCCGATCTCCTTGCTAGTGTAGGTTTGACAGCACGCTGAACAAGACGCCTCTGTGGTTTTCGTAAAAATGGAAAAGCAGGAAAATCGTGCTGTCATCAAATACTTTTATTTGAAGGGGTTAACGCCGAAGGAAATTAAAAAAGAGATGGACTCAACACTGGGGACATCCTCCCCGTCATATTCAACCGTTAAGCAGTGGGTTTCCGAGTTTAAAAAGGGTCGTGTGAGCACCTCTGATGGGCCTCGCTCAGGACGCCCCGTTGAGGTCACAACTCCAGATATGATCGAAAAAATTCATCAAATAGTGCTGGGAGACCGCAGATTGAAAGTGCGTGAGATAGCTGAGACCTGTAAGATGTCATATGAACGTGTGCAACATATTTTGCACCAACATTTGCATATGGAAAAGCTCTGTGCAAGATGGGTGCCGCGTTTGCTAACAGTCGACCAAAAATTGATTCGAAAAAACATTTCTACCGCAAATTTGTCATTGTATAAGCGTAATCCAAGCGAATTTTTGCGTCGATTCGTAACCGTTGACGAAACGTGGGTCCACCACTACACTCCTGAAACCAAAGAACAGTCTAAACAGTGGATTGGACCAGGGGAACCAACTCCAAAGAAGGCAAAAACAATTTTTTCGGCGAACAAGGTTATGGCTACTGTTTTTTGGGATGCAAGAGGTATTATATACATTGATTACCTTGCAAAGGGTAATACTATCACTGGTCAATACTACGCAGACTTATTGCAACGTTTGAGCCACGAGGTGAAAATTAAACGACCTCATCTGGCGAAGAAAAAAATCTTGTTTCATCACGATAACGCACCAGCGCACACGTCAATCGTTGCGACGGCTAAAATCAACGATCTAAAGTTTGAATTGATGCCGCACCCTCCTTACTCTCCAGACCTAGCCCCGAGTGACTATTTTCTGTTCCCTAATCTCAAAAAATGGCTTGGCGGTAAGAGATTTGCGGACAATGAAGAAGTAATCGAAGCTGTAAATGGTTATTTTGAGGAGCTTGACGAATCAGTCTATAGAGATGGCATTAATAGACTGGAACACCGCTATGAGAAATGTATCAGCCTTGGAGGAGATTATGTTGAGAAATAAAAAAAAAAAATTTTTAAAAACCTTGTTTTTCTTGGTCAGGCCGGAAACTTATCAATCCACCCTCGTATATATATAATTAAGTTAATAAAAATCGACGGATTGTTAACCTTGTAGTCGGTTGGTCGTGGTTGCTGTTGTCACCTCTCGTAGTTTAGTGGTAGAACATTGGTGCGTAAACCCAAAGGTCCCGGGTTCGATTACCGGAGGGGGTGTGACAACAGCAACAATTTTTCCCTCATTAATTTAAGGTAGTTTGTAGTGGGTAAATAAAAAATCGAAAAAATGATCTCAAATTAATATTCCTCAATAGGTTTATGTTGTATTTATTGGACTTATTAATTTTATGAAAAAGTGATTGCATGTAACAGAATATCCCTACGTTTAGTTATCAACTCACCACTGGTGTATATAATTTATTATCAAGCAAAACTTTAGTTTGAGTTTCTAATCCTATCTGATTAACGTCTCCCTTGTAGCAGGTAATTTAAGTAGGGGCTATTTGTTTAGAGTGATCGAATTGGGTAAAATTGATTAAGTTGATTAAATGGATTATGGGTATTTCTAAGGTAGGTAAGATAACATCTAATATCTGAATATTTTGAAAGCAATAGGCATTTGGGTAGATAATATGTTATAACCGAAATATTAATTTTACGGCAAAGGTCTTTAGCAAGGGATTAAAAGATGAAAACTATTATTAGGTATGTATACTTTAGTACTTAGCTGTACTGTATGAATCAGCATGCGGAAATACGGAATGTATTTTAGATATAACGTAGGTAGGTAACAGACCACTAAAGTACTACCAATGGTAGTCATTACCGAACGAAACTGTAGCCGATGATAAAGTATTCACTCTTATAGATACTAAACGTTTATAAAGAGAAAGGTCCCTGGGTAGACACTGATCACCTGATATTTAATACCTCTTGCAATTACTGGACACTAGTGGCCGCCCATTGGAGCAATTCATTAAATTGTTAAGTTTGGACGTTATAGAGGTTATTAGGTTATTTTTTCAAATAGTATACCTCTCTAATCATCCAGTTCACATTTACTTCGCGAATTTTTTAGTGTATGAACGTAAACAATGAACGTTTTATTTTGTTCAATTTAATATATTTGAAACATGTTATTTTCTTGTATCCCTTCTCTATATGAACTTTAATTATGTCCAATCTCACAATCCTGCGTGACCACAATATGTTAAAAAAGGAGTACAAAGTTTTTTCATTGCGCATTAATATGATTAAAACCTAAATTTAGGATTAATAAAAGCACAATTATCAGAGTGTCTAATATTTATTTATTTCAAAAAGTAATGTGTATTATAATTATTATTTACGTTTATTTCTATAATAGTTTAGAAGAAAATTTTACTGAATACGTTTCACTCTTGCTGTTTACCTTTTAAAGAAAAAATTAACATACAATAATGACCCCCATAAAAAACGAATGACGTACCTCCACGAGATATAAATCTCGGAAGACCGCTTCATTTACAATTCGGATGCGGAAACTTAGATCAAAAACTGTTCATAAATATATGACTCAGAACATCTGCCTACACAAGTCATAATCGGGTTTAATCACAATTGTTAAACAAAAGATTATATTCAGCAGTTTTTTTTTTAACGAAAATAAAATAAAAAAAAAAACTGTTTTTACAAAACGTTTTGCAATAAATACCTATGTAGCTATCAATAAATTGTAATTGTAAAATAAGTTGGAAGAGATTAAAAAGCAGAAGTTACAAAATATAAATAAATATATTTACGGATACTGTTTATTAACATCTACACTATTAATTTCAAATTAGAATATTATGTATTTGTATTGTGTCCAAAATATTTATCGCTACTTCTAAATAAGCAGCAACTTTGACAATTATTATCTTTGGAAGGTTTATATTTAACGAAATTCCTTTAAGAAATTATGTACAAAGCTGCCAACTTAGATTGTTGTTTACATTTGAAAAGACAATATGAGTAAAACAGTTGACAACTTCCCTTATCTATTTTGTATTCTTTTCATTAAAGTAGATAGTGAGTCATTTGAATAATAAGACTACTTTCTTACAAAAGGCAACTATAATTGTTTAAAACAATCGAATTTCAAGTAGAAAAAGGTGCAGTGTTCCATATAATAGATACGATACCTATGTACAAAACAGACAAATTTGTAATTTTTCAATTGAACGTTAACATATTTAAAAAATATTTGATTTACCTAATCGTTCATTTACGTACATGTATTTTGCAATTAAATGAAACAGTGGAAACCAGAGGAAAAAGGAGGGTGTTAAAAAGCAACAATTACATTTCTTTTTGGGTTTTCGCACCTCCCCCTTAGTAGGAAACTTTTCTAATCTAACACCTTTCTTTTGTAATATATGTAGATTAGACTGATGTCAAGCAGTAAAATGACATTTATTTAAAAAATTTTTCAGTTTTTTGCAGGTAACTTATGATCTTCAAAAAATATCAAAAACTTCTTCAGAGATAAATTATAGGAAATTAAATTCTCTACAAAAAATGTCTCATAAAATTTTCCCATAAAGTTGATGGTTGCGTCGAAAATTAAGAAAAATGTAAAAATTTTAAACCAATCCAACTTCAACGTTAAATAACTTTTGAAAAAATGAATATATCAAAAAACTGTAAGAGACCTTTTTTGTAGAGCGTTAAATTTTGTATAAAAATTTGTTTTGATCATTTTAAAATATTAACTCTAACGAGAGTTAAAAAATTCCAAAATCCAAGAGAACATCGTTCCCATGTTATTTAAATGGGAAATTGAAATTTACGATGCGGCACCTCTTAATATTAATATTAAGAGCTCTAACTTTCACAGTATTTTTTTTACCATTTTCAACAAGATTTTCGATATAATTAAGAAAAAAAAATCATCGATTTTTTTGAAACAGTCTAATGTAGATACTGGAGCCGGCCCGTAACGGGTCATACGTTTTCACTTTTCCTGATAGAGAATTGGAACGAGCGATCTTTCACTAATGATATTATTACGTGCATATTACAGTTAATCTCATATCGGATAAGCTCATCCTGCTTAACCATAATAATTAAAGAAAAAAATATGAGACTATGACCAACCTGTGTAATTCCTGCCCTTTGAAGATGAGCTTGCTCTCTATTTCCATCATCCGAATGTCTTAACATAGCTCGTTCAACACGTGCTAGTGTTGGCGAGTCCAAAATACCAGCAATAGATGGTCGACCAACGGAAGCATGAGGGTTACCACCGTTACCGCTATCAACTTGCACCAACATTGTCACAAAAACTCGCGCAACTTTTTATAAGTATATCACAATCTCCTAATTAATTTGTCCTGAGCAAGACGATTCGCTAGGATTAAAACAAATGCTTGGAACTTTGCCAAATGTCACACATGTCAAAACTTTTGACGACTACTAGACGGTGACAGGCTTTCGATTTACATTGTCTATTATAATACCGTGTACACGCGAATGTCGTGAAACAACTGACTAACGACGACGATAACGTCCTCGCAACAGGCACCGAGCTAGTGAGAGGTCTACTGCGGTTGTTTCGTTTGAGCGCGAGCGTGTCGATGGATTACCGAGAGAAGTGGTAGGAATGAAAAATACATACGTACACGGTGCATCTACGACTGATAAGAGGGATGAATTTGATACTGCTGTATCTATAAAGTACGTACGGCTGCCAAACGTTGCAATTTCCAAGGATGTATGAAGACAGCAGCGGCAGCGAAAAACCATGCTCGACGAAACTTGATTGAATTGATATGGACGTTGGAGGAATTTCAATATTTTGAAATTGCTTGGCCAGCTGGATTTTAATATCCAGAAAGCACTACGTAGTACAGATTTATTTTTAAAATTGGTATTAATTAAAACAAAAAAAGTGCAATTCATTTACTTCAAGCATTTTTAGAAAGGACGAAAAATAAAAATGTACATGATTACGAATTTATATGTACATCAATATTTTCAGAGACATGATTTATTTGAAATACTTGCATTTAAGATGCAAATATAAAATGAAAAATAACTATTTTTATCTTGTATTCAGAAAAGATTTTTTTATTTTATTTAAAATACTTTTCCAAACGAATTTTCTATTTGTAAAATGCAAAATGCGCCTTTTGTCGGTAATAGTTTTAGTAGTATCATCGATCAAACTATATAAAATGATAAATCGAANTATTTTTTTTACCATTTTCAACAAGATTTTCGATATAATTAAGAAAAAAAAATCATCGATTTTTTTGAAACAGTCTAATGTAGATACTGGAGCCGGCCCGTAACGGGTCATACGTTTTCACTTTTCCTGATAGAGAATTGGAACGAGCGATCTTTCACTAATGATATTATTACGTGCATATTACAGTTAATCTCATATCGGATAAGCTCATCCTGCTTAACCATAATAATTAAAGAAAAAAATATGAGACTATGACCAACCTGTGTAATTCCTGCCCTTTGAAGATGAGCTTGCTCTCTATTTCCATCATCCGAATGTCTTAACATAGCTCGTTCAACACGTGCTAGTGTTGGCGAGTCCAAAATACCAGCAATAGATGGTCGACCAACGGAAGCATGAGGGTTACCACCGTTACCGCTATCAACTTGCACCAACATTGTCACAAAAACTCGCGCAACTTTTTATAAGTATATCACAATCTCCTAATTAATTTGTCCTGAGCAAGACGATTCGCTAGGATTAAAACAAATGCTTGGAACTTTGCCAAATGTCACACATGTCAAAACTTTTGACGACTACTAGACGGTGACAGGCTTTCGATTTACATTGTCTATTATAATACCGTGTACACGCGAATGTCGTGAAACAACTGACTAACGACGACGATAACGTCCTCGCAACAGGCACCGAGCTAGTGAGAGGTCTACTGCGGTTGTTTCGTTTGAGCGCGAGCGTGTCGATGGATTACCGAGAGAAGTGGTAGGAATGAAAAATACATACGTACACGGTGCATCTACGACTGATAAGAGGGATGAATTTGATACTGCTGTATCTATAAAGTACGTACGGCTGCCAAACGTTGCAATTTCCAAGGATGTATGAAGACAGCAGCGGCAGCGAAAAACCATGCTCGACGAAACTTGATTGAATTGATATGGACGTTGGAGGAATTTCAATATTTTGAAATTGCTTGGCCAGCTGGATTTTAATATCCAGAAAGCACTACGTAGTACAGATTTATTTTTAAAATTGGTATTAATTAAAACAAAAAAAGTGCAATTCATTTACTTCAAGCATTTTTAGAAAGGACGAAAAATAAAAATGTACATGATTACGAATTTATATGTACATCAATATTTTCAGACANAATGATTGATACCCAATTTAATACATATATTACGACCAGAGGTGATTTATTTGAAATACTTCCATTCAAAATGCAAATACAAAATGCTTATTTTTATCTTGTATTTAAATACTTTTTTGAGATTTTAAAATACTTTTCCAAACGAATTTTCTATTTGTAAAATGCAAAATGCATTAAAAGTTTTTCTGGTATCATCGATCAAACTATATAAAATGATAAATCGAAGAAGTTACTCATATTGACCATTGAAGGTATTAGACGCTTAAAAAGGGGAGAAAGAGAGATTCCATGAATGTTTTCTAGTTCTTTAACTGAAAGGTGCCCAAAAAAAATCTAAACTCCTTGGAAATGGATAATCTAAAATATTGGATCCCTATTATTTTCCGGGTTCAATGTCATGGTCTATGGAATTTTGAAGTTCCAAATTGATATCAGCACTTGCCAAAACACCACATATCGTACCTTTAGCAAGGTACTACGAAATTTTATTAATTACGATAAAACAATCCGCAAAGCAATATCGAATTGAGATACGCCAGCAGTGTAAAACTGAAAACTACTTACAAGATATTGTGGTGTGCTAATAAATGCGTATAATCCAAAATACCTAGAAAACGATTCGAAAAACTTCATTCATTAGATACTATAGATTCCAATTTGTAAAAGATCGGAAACAAAATGGGGTTGTAAATATTTTGATAAAAAATGATTGATGTTGATTTTACATCAATAAAATTATTTGGCTATAATAAAAACTATTTTGGCTCTAATCTTTCACGGTAAACAAACCATTTTGGTATCAGCCTTCTTTCCAAGTAACCCAGCATATAGAAAAATTATTTATTACAAAACTGAAAAAATTATAACATAAAGATAGAAAACTATATCTCAATCACTCCATTCAGAAAACTATTAATCATACTTAATCTTCGCAGCTCCTGATATAGTGCAAACACATATTAGTTTGCAAAAACTTCAATATTTAAAAAATGAGCAAATGTCTGCATAGTTTTCTTGAAAAATATTTTATACTCAAGTAAATGTAGTAGTAAATTAAATATGTACCTACTACAAAAAAGTATTTATTTGACAAAAGTATTTTGAAAACATGTTTTTTGCATTTAGCATTTAAAATACAAAAGGGAAATCTATTTTGTATTTTACATTTGAAATAACAAATCAAAAAATTATTTGCGTATTGTACTTAAATAAGTACCTTTAAAAAACCATTTTGCACATCTGGTTATATTAACCTGTCGTACTTACTGGAGGATAAAACTATACTAATCAAATGTTGAGATGTGAAAAATCGTCGTTAAGGTTTCCATATTTTAAACGTATATTTAATGAAATTGATTCGGAAAATGTAATTGAAATACAAAATAAGAACCTAGATATTTTTTAAAGTCTGAATTAAAATGCTTTTGATTTTGTTGTTATTTATTAATATATCCTGATTTTATCAAAACTGTCCTAAACCAAAAGAACCCTCCAAATCGTTCGAACAAAGCGTAACATCCGTCAAACGCTTTAAATTGCATTTATTGGAGTTACACTTTACTTACTTTATTATTTATATGAAGAGACCACTGAAGGTTTTGTAATAATTTTCCTAAACCTCGCCGTAGTTTTTAAAAGATAATGTCACCTTTTAATGATTGCTTGTATTAATAGAATATTTCTGTTTCATCACGAAGCAATTGTTGATCAATTACAGCTGACAGCAGATAATCTCAATTTTTCATATGATAATGAACAAGTGGTAAAATGTGCAAAAATGAAGAAACTTTCAAACTTAAATGTACTGACGAGCAAAACAAGACTACCCCAGTCTTACTTATTCGGTCTTAGTCTTGCGTGTTAGATCTTGGTCTTTTTTTTTTCTGTCATGCATGTGAGTTTGTCAAGACTTTTTAATGCATAAATTAATTTTTTAGAAAAAAAATAGTACCCACAAGGTACTTGAAAGAAGTAAAAATATTAAAAAAAATTAGTTTGTTTTTATATTCCAACCATGTGTCATCCAGACTTAGGGACGAAGAACGCTTACTCCGGGGACATTCTTGTAGATCCCTCTTTTTAGATACTACCAAATTTTCTTTTTTTTAATATTTGGTCTTGATCCTGCGTATTAGGTCTTGGGTTTAATCTTGATCTTGTTCGTTCGGTCTTGTTTTTAGTCTTGGTCTTGTTCGTTTGGTCTTGGTCTCGATCTTGCTAGTATAAAGACAGTATTGGTCTTACATTTTCTCAAGATCAAGACCAAGATTGCAAGACAAGACCAGTTGTGCTTATCATTACTTGAATAAGAGATTTAGTGTGCCTTAAGGCTTTACATCAAAATTAAATGACAAATTTAGAATTACAGAAAAAGGAATATGAAAAATACGTCACAGAAATCAAAAAGGTCAGAAAGGAATTCGAGATTGAGATTTTATGATATTGAAAAAATTAATGATGTACATCAGTATCTGCACATATTTGCTAAAAAATTTCAGACATGTTTCATGCGAAAGAAAAAGGTGTCAGAAAATGAAATTGTAACTTTGCTAACTTATATTAGAGTATAAAACAGAAATTTCGAAGATTTTTGAAAATGTAAATGTCAACAGTGAAAAATATCTGAATATCAGTAAATATAACAAATATACATACATATGTGAATCGGTTATTCCATATTTCAAGTTAACGAAGGCAGCACATCGTTCTCTACTACTGATTCCCAAGCAGTGATTCATTATCCTTATCTTTGTCGGGAAATACTTACGCTGAACGTTAGGAATAAGCAGACGCAGGCTTTTAATTAATGAAAGGATAGTAAAATAAAATACAAATCTCTATATTTTGTATTAGTTACCTATTTCTTAATTAATGAATATTACAAGAGCATGTCTCTACAAACTGGGAAATCTATCTTCTATCTTCTATATATCTAAAAATTAATTGCTGTTCGTTAGTCTCGCTAAAACTCGAGAACGGATGGACCGATTTGGCTAATTTTTGTCTTGAATTATTTGTGGAAGTCCAGAGAAAGCTTAGAAGGTGAATAAATATGAAAGTTGTTAAATATCTTTCAGATTATTTGTCACAAATTAATTTTTTTTTATTAATTATGGATTCCTTTTGTTTGTTTTAAGTTTATTTTATACAAAAGTTTAGGTCTTTTATTTATCGATTGAGGCAGTAC